CCCCCCACACACAAATTGGCAGCTTGGTCTCAATCAGTGGTGTCTCAGGATCCAGGAACTAGAGTGTCTTTTTTACCACTTGTCACCTCTGCCCTAGTCCAAGCCCCACTGAGGTCTCTGGCCTGGGTTGTTTCTGAGACTCACTGCTGTGTCTGCTTCCATGCTTGCTCCCAGCAGTGGCAGTGGGAGGGCTCTTTCTCAAAACCAAAGCAGGTGGTGGCACTCCAGCGACTTCCCAAAGTGCTGGTCTGGGCCTCCGTGCACTCCAGCCTCCTCAGCTGCTCAAGTCCATTCTGTTCCCGCTGGATGTTCCAGAGCACTGCCAAACTCACTGCTGCCTCAGGGCCTTTGCACTTCCCACAGGGAGCATCAGGCCGGTCCTCCCTTCAGCTTCTTTCTGGCTATGGCTCAGATAATACTTCCTTAGAGTGGCTTTCCCTGACCACTTCCTCTGGTGCTCTGGGTCCCCTGCCAGGCTCTCTTCACAGCACCTGGTATGTCCCAACCTCATGTTACGTGATAGGTGCTTTGCCCACGTTCCCCTTGAGTGTGAACAGGACCAGTCGAGGAGCATGGCCTCTCTCAGCTGTGCTCACCATTCTGTCCCAGCACTGGGAACACTGCCCAGCACACTACTGTCACACATAGGTCTCTCTATTCATCAAGCACAGCCCCTAGCAAGGGCCCAGCACGTCGAGGGGCTCGGTAAGCACTTCCCGAGAGAATGAACGGGAACTTCTCAGTCAGCAGAACAGGCTTGTGAAGGTTCCACGTCGCCCCCGGCCCCCCCACCTTATGTGGTCTCTCAGTGAGCTGGAGCTCTCCGTGGGGCCGTTTAATGGGCATTTCAGACTTAATAATGTCCCGACCTAAGCTCCAGACTGCCCACAAACTGCGTGTCCCCCCTCCAGTTAACGGCACTTCCAGCCTTCTCATCACCCAGCCCCGAGGCTCTGGCTCTGCTTGTTCTCCCACGTCTTGTGTCCAAGTCAGCGAACCCTGCAGCTCAGCCTTCACTGTACAGCTGGAATGCGGCCACTTGTCATCAGCCCCCCACCATCACCAGGCCCAGGCCAGGGGTCGGCAGGCTTTATCCGTGAAGGGCCAGACAGCTCCTGTGACATCTTCTCAACTCGATAGTTGTAAAAAAACAAAAAAAAACAAAAAAAAACAAAGCAGCCGTAGATGATACGTTAACAATCAGTGAGCCATGGCCTTGTTCCTGTGATACAGCTTTGTGGATCCTGAAGTTTGAATTTCACGTCATGTCCTTGTGCTGCGCGATAGGCTTCTGATTTTTTTCCCAACCATTTAAAAGTATAAGGACGATTTTAGTTTGTACAGAAACAGGCAGTGGACCAGAATTGGCCTCTGGGCCATAGTTGGCCGACCCTTGGGTCTAAGACATCTTTTATCCTGACAGAATTATTCCCGTAGCTTCTTACTCGGCTCCCTGCTTCCACCCTTTCTCCCCTGTAGTCCAGATGGATCGTTTAGGAACTTGTCAGGTCATATCCTTGCTCTGCCCAGAAGCCTCCAGGGTTCTCACCTCACTTGGAATAGAAGCCAGGGGCGCCTGGGTGGCTCCGTCAGTTGAGCGTCCGACTTCAGCTCAGGTCACGATGTCACGGTCAGTGTTTGAGCCCCGCGTCAGGCTCTGTGCTGAAAGCTCGGAGCTTGGAGCCTGCTTCGGATTCTGTGTCTCCCTTTCTCCCTGCCCTTCCCCTGCTCACACTCTGTCTTTCTTTCTCTCAAAAATAAACATTAAAAAAAAGAGGGGGGGGGAATAGAAGCCATAGTCTTCATCTGGAGGGTGAGACCCTGCACAACCTGTTACCTCCCCCCAGCCCCCTCCTTGCTCACTCTCTCCAGCCACACAGTCCTCTGCACTGTTGCTTGAACACACCAAGAATGCTGAACCTCAGGGCCTTTGCACAGGCCATTTCTCTGCCTGGATGCTTTCCCCAGATTTCTCAACAGCTCTTTCCTCCACTGCATTCAAGGCTTGTCCCAGGGTCTCCTCCGGAGGCTTTTCTTGACCAGTTTGTATAAAACTGCACACCCCCTCTTCACCTTCCACTCCCTGTCCCCTTTCCCTGCTCTGCTTTTCCTATGGCACATGACATCTTCTAATGTTATGTGCAACTTTATTTGATGGTCTTTGTCCCCCACCCCTGCTAAAATGTCAGCTGCACATGGGCAAAGATTTCTGTCTCTCTTTCCACAGCTGAATTCCCAGAGCCTTTAACAGTGCCTGGCATGTAGCAGTTAGTAGATGTTCAATCAGTATTTATGTGGTGAACGAATGAGCCTCAGTTTCCTCATCTGTAAAAGGGGATTAATAGTGAAAGGTAATTTGTGTTGAGAATGTGCCTCTGTGTCTGGCACCTTGTGAGCATGTGGGAGGTGTTAACTGTTGCTGTGTATGAAGCTGGCCATGGGGGTCCCAGAGCGGGCGATTCCGGAAGTTTCTGGGGTGAACTAACCTGCCTGCCGCACTGGGCCAGATGTGCTGGATGCAGGTGGGGGGTCATCCTGGATGGGCTCCTCCTGCTGCTCCCATCAGCCTGTGTTTGCAGGGCTCAGTGTCTCCTGCCTCTTCCAGCTTCTTGGCCTGATGGCACCTTCCTGCTCAGAGATGCAGAGACCAGACACGGTCACTACCCTTGATCTGGCCAGGGGGTGCGGGGGTGCAGATCTGGGCCGTCCCCCAAGGGTCTGGGGCCGGGGACAGCCCTGGAGGAAGAGCATTCAGTTCTAAGGAGCAAATATAGACGGGGTCTTGCCACTGGAGCTCATAGCTGGGTGCTGTTGGGCTGGTGACTTGTGTTCCTCAGTCTCAGCCTCCTTGTCTGTAAAATGGGGTAACAGTGCCAATCTGGTAGGATCAGTGTGAGCTGGTGGTGGCTGGGTACTCAGGACTCACACCCTGCAGGGGGCGGGGCAAGGAAGGGGTGGGTTGCACCTGCAGGGAATGGTTGAGGCCCCACTGGGAGGGGTTTTGGGCTTCCAGAGGCAGCCTGGGTCGAGGTGGCTGTTCCCATCTGTCACCTGGGAGCTTTTGAAGCTGTGGGCGCCGGCTCCCCCTTCAGAGACCCCGGTCCCCCGCCTAGGCTGCCCAGTCCAGGGCTCTTCAGCGGAGTCACATGAGCAGGCAGGGTTCGGGACCACGGGTGGGACTTCTGCCACATGTGCCACGAGAACCCTGTCTGTTAGGTCTTCTTTCAAACGTTCCCATCGACCAGAGGGAGACGCTGAGGCTCAGGCTGGGAGGCTGGGCTGACTCTGGCCTCTGCTGAGGCACTGCCGTGGGGACTCCCTCCACCCCTCCCCCTGGGGCCTGACAGGAAACCGTGCAGGAAGCGTTAAGACAGCCGCTGAGCCTGCCTGGACACCTCTGTGTGGTGTCAGGAGGTGACGGGTCTTTCTCCCTTGGGACCCTGAGCGTGCTGGGGACACGGGAGCCTGAGGCCTGCGAGGAGCGGGCTCAGTCCCTGGGCTCCCTGGTAGTGACATGTTCTGCAGAGTCTGGACCTTCCAAGATGAGTGTGCTGGAGTTGGAACATCGGGAGGGAAGGGGGTGCCTTCCAGATGATCAGATCCCGGGGCCCCTCCCACCTTTTTTCCCCCGTTGGCATCTAACCCCACTCTTCGGAGTGGTGGTGGTGGTGTGGCGGGGGCTGTGGGCCCAAGTGGGTGCGTCTGCGCTGGCCGCGGCACTTCCTGGCTGTGTGCCCTGGGCGAGGGCCCCCTCGTTTCTGAGCTGCATAACTGGGGTCACAGTCCTTAGCTTACAGGCCCCGGTGAGGCTAGGTGAGTTAGGCAGGCGAAGGTCTCAGCACGGCCCTTGGCACGAGGTAAGCATCCGACAGATGTTTCTTGGGGAGGTGCTTCCCAGTGGCACAGGCCCCAGGGGCAGCCCTGCTCTGGGTGGGACAGCGCCCTCTGGAGTCCCGGAAGGTGCAGCCTGTGCCAGCCCAGGGAGGTGCGGGGGCTGCGGGTGCCAGTGGTCAACGGGCCCGAGACCCAGAGTCCCTGCTGTGTTGGTTCGGTGTCCCCTTCAGGTTGTGCTCTGTGTGGTTGCTGCCACCAACCTGGGGTCACCTGAGCACCTGAAGAATGTTCTCCAGGACGCTGCTGGGGTGTATGGGGCTCCTCCAGCGTCTCCTGGCCCCCATCCCAGAGCCCAGGGACATTGGCACTCAGACCCTGGCTCTTGTCTGGCCAGCGGGGGCAGGAGGTGGGAACTGGCTGGTTGAGGGCCTGGGAGTGGGTGGTCAGCGTCTCCGCGCCCTTGCCAGCCTTGGTGACGTTCTGCCCCCGTGGTGGCACGTCGGAGAGGCTGGTGCAAGTGCACTGGGCACCTCAGAGAAATGGGGTCACGAGCTGAGGCCACTGGGGAAGGAGGTATTTCTGGCGGAGCAGGTGCGGCCTGTGCTGGCCTCCTGGCAGCTGAGCCCAAGGTCTTTTCAGCCACCCTGGCGCGAGCGGTGTGACTTCGATATTTCTGGAAAGTGGAAGGGAAAGGGAGCTGCAAGTGCTGAGTCGCCGAGTCCAGGCGAACGTGCCCGAGCCTCTGCATCTGTGAAGCGGGTGAGCCGGCCGGGTGCTGTGCCGCTCGCGGCCAGGCCTCCCTCCTCTGGGTGCGGCAGCTCTTATGCCCCGAGCGGGGGCCCGTGGGGGCCGCGAGGGCCTGGGCCAGCCGGCGGAAGGACCTGTCAAGGTCTTTGCGTCTTTGTCTGGAGTCCCAGGTTGCCCTGAGCAGGGCTTGCACCCACAGCGGGCCTCTCGTGCCACAGGCCCAGGAGAAGACGTCACCACCAGGGCGCACACGTCCCTCACAAGGTGGCCTAGTTGCAGGGCCCTTTCCTGGCCGGCAGACCCACGTGGGGTCTCAGAGAGCCCGCCGGAGGCTGGGTGTGCTGCTTGTGCGGTCTCTGCGCGGGGCCTCCGCAGAGCCTGCGCCGGCTGGGGGTGCGGCCCCAGAGGCCTGTGTGGGCGGGGCTGGGGGGGGGCGGGGTGCTGGCCTTTCTCAGCACACACGAGCGCGCGTCTGGGCTCAGGTGTTTGCTGTGTGACCCGGGAGCGTCCCTCATCCTTTGGAACACGGCTTCCTTATCTGAGAAGTGGAGCCAAGAGCTCCTGCCCTCTCGGCTGCTGGGCAGGTGAAAGGGGAGGACGAGGAGAGGGGCCTGGGAAGCCGCCGCTGCTCCAGGCCTGCTGTTTTCCACGCGTGCCCATTGGGCGGGTCTGCCTGAGGATGCACAGAGGTTCCAGGGGCATCATCGGGAGCTGGTGAGGGTGACCTGGAATCCGGGCCGACCCTCGGGCCTGTGCCTACCCCTTGTCCCAAGGGGCCCTGGGATGTGGACTCCGCCGCGAGGCCACGGAGGCTTGTTGGCGGATGGGAGGGGCCTGGAGAGCACTGGGCCTGGCGGTGTTTATGAGGATGGGGGGACACTGAGGCTCGAGAGGGGCCCGGGCCCCCGGCTTGCAGGCCTCGTGGGCGCTGGTGCCCGGGCCCCTGTGTGCCGCGCCCGCCTGGCAGTTCCTGCAGATGCAGCAGATGCAAGCGTGGCTCTTCACACCTGGGCTCAGGTGGCACCTACTCCTCCTGCCGCCTTTTTTCTGGCGCTCCTTCCTCCTGGGGCTCAGGTCGGACCCCCCGGGCCCCCCCAGACCATCATCAACAGATCCCGTGGTCCTGCCCTTAGTCTGTCCAGAATGCCACCACTTTCCACTCCTCCGTGGCCACCTCCCTGTTCCGTCCGCATCGTTGCCCTGGTCTCCCAGTTCCCAGGGGAACCTGCCCACTTCCCTCGGGGTAAGAGCCAGAGCCTTCACCTGTGCCATCTGCCCGCTCTGTGCTGGCCACCTGGGCCTTCTGCTCCTCAGAGCCGCTGAGCGCATGCAGCCACAGGGCCCTTGTACTTGGCCTTCCCTCTGCCTCGTGTGCATGCTTGTTGCCTGGCGTCTCACTGGCCTTTGCCCGGCTGCCCCCCCCCCCCCCCCCTCCGCTCAGGGAGACTTTCCC